GGGATAGCAGACATTTTTAGTGCTAACAAAGAAAACGTCCCAGGAAACAAATCTTGCCGAAAAATCTTTTTGTTTCCGACAGATTTTAATTGAATTAGGAAGAAATAAACAAGTTTGCCAAATATTGTTTCGCAAGAAATAGAAATGCCACACAGAAAAGTTGAAAAGTTTTACTTTGATAAGCTTTAAGCAAAAAACATTTCGTGTCTTTTTGAAGAGATGTAACTGTAATGAAAGGAAATGTAGCTGCCGTCGAATTCCTTTTTCAAAATTAATCAGTAATTGAATTAGGTGAAACAGAAACTCAAGGCTTCTTTTTGGCGCCTCGTAGAAAATGAAAATGGTCATAAAAATATAATACAAAATTTTGTCATGAAATACCAAAAAAATTCCTATAATACAAAGAAAAAAAAAAGAAAAACACAACTCTTTGTCATCAAGAAAACGCTAAAAAAGATGTGTCCTGGACTACACATTACACAACTTTCTGTAGCTAATTTGCATAAGGTAATTTATTAACCGCAAGAAAGCTCTCCCTCCTTGATTGTTCTTCAACACACCTATATTTCAAATAAAAAGGTGTAAACGTGATATGTTACTTATTTCTAATGTACAAACCAACCTCTCATTATTTATTACATGATTTTATGGTGGTTCTCGGTCCTGATATTGATAAACTGTCGGACCGTGTTTTATCGAGATAAAAACACTTGAGCGAAAAGAACAACTTTATTTATCAAAACAAACTGGATTCCGTTAGCGCATTGTGTTCAAAGAAAATGGCTCTTAAAATTTTACGTAGTGCATACAAGAAATGATACAACTATTGAGTTTCCACATTCTTAAAAACACTTCTTTGAATAGCTAAATGTTGTTATGTAGCTCAGCGTGTATCGTATAAACGCGATCGCTGCAGCCAGGAGGCTGCAGTTAATTTGCATATAGGAATTAAAAAGTACTTTCTGGAATATTTGAGCCATTTCGTTAAAAAAAAGGCCAAAATGATGATTAATATCGATCTTGATACTCCATCAGATAATTGTTCCTGCACCTTTAAGTGTTTTAGGGCTGTTAAGCTTTACAAACCTGTCTGCTGGTCGGACTACGTTATCGTTGGTTTCGATCAAGACGGCGAATATTTATTAAATTCAGAAAGCTCTCTACGGCGCAGGATGAGGAGTACCCAAAAGTTTTATTCTATATTTAACTTGCTCTATCTAATTAATTTTAAGCCGCAATAGACTTGACTCTAGATCAGGTCCCACATAAGAGAAAATAGCTTTCAACCGCATGTACCTCACTCCTCACAAATTTTAATGCTCACGATAAGGTATTTTGAAAGTTTCATAACTCGGTAAAAATTTTACAGAATGCAATCGTTTTACCTTTGAAGTATTTAAATAAAGCCATTCTTAAATACGTAAAATAATCAGCTTTGTAGATTAGGAAATAAGGATTTGGTAGCGCTCGATATTTATAGCTTAATTATAGGGGTCACAGAAGACAAATTGAGTAGTTTGGGGGTGACCTTTAAAGTTGTCTCGTAAAAATAAAAAAAAAATAAAATTGATCAAAACAAATGTGATATTTGTACATGGGATAGAATTGTTGACTTTCACTGAAAAACTAAGGGAAATCGGTGCAGGACCGAAATTTGCCTTATACCTTCTTACGCGGACAGCCTCTTAATGTCGCAAATCAGCGGTATAAAAACAATGCAGGTAATTTAGTGTTAACAACCCAGTTGTTAACACTATATTACCTGCTGTACTCTCCCACCGACGCAGCACCACAGTTTCTTTAGAAACTTACCCCTTTATTCATTTGTATAAAAACAATGGTATGACTGTTAACGAGAAAAAGCACTAAGCTCTAATCCTTGGAAAAACTGAGCACAATTTTTGTTTCCCAGTAAAGAACTCGATAGACATATTTAGGATGACAATAGATAATAGGTTCTCTTTTGATAATCACGTATCAGTTATCTGTAAGAAAATAGTAATCAATTTAACGCTCAGATTTCGGAAACTTATTGATAAGGAGACGCTATTGTAGCTTTGTAAAGCCTTTATTTTGCTGCATTTTTATTACTGTTCTTCTGTTTGGCATTTCTGTGGTGCGCGCAATGCCGACAAAGTAGATAATCTAAATAAGTGCATTCTTAGGGTTATACTACAGGACTACAGCTCTCCATATGACATTCTACTAAGGAAAGTTAACTTAAAATCTCTATTCATTAGACGCCTCCAGAACTTCATGATCACGTTATATAAGAGTCTGTTCTTTACAAATTATTCAGGTTATTTAAAAGATATGTTCACCGTACGGTCTTCATCCTACAATTTGCGCGGAAATTGTATCCTGGCCCTTCCCAACCCAAAAACAACGACTTACGGTCTGCACTCACTTTTCATACGTAGCTAGCAAAATATGGAACTCTCTCCCAGACACTTACAAAACATTAAGTTTTCAAGAATTCAAGCAGGAGATCCTCAGATATGAAGCTTTTTCATAGTAGATCTACAAGTTACATTTCCCTCTGCATGCACAATGTGGTATATAGTTTATAAATAATATTGGAATTCATTAGTAGCTTTGTATCCTCAGCCAATATATTAGTAGCTCCGTCTCAGTAGCTTCTTATCAGTTGCCCCTATTTCAATAGCTCCTTATTATGGCCCCTTTATCTTTAGCTCCCTATCAGAAACTCCGTTTCAGTAGCTCCTTATCAGTACCTCCGTATCAGAAGCTCCTTATCAGTAGCTCCTATTCAGTAGCTCAGTGTTAGTAGCTCAGTATCAGAATCTCCTTATCAGTAGCTCTTGTATCAGTAGCCCTGATATCGGTAGCTCTGTTCTAGTAGCACTGTATCAGCAGCTCCTCATCATTAGCTACGCAATATTAGCCCCGTAACAGTGGCTCCTCATTAGTTGCTCGGTATTAGTAGGTCCTGTATTAGTAGCTCCGTATCACTAGCTCTCTAGCTCCTGTATCCGAAGCTCCGTATTACAAACTCCGCGCCAGAAGCTTCGTATGAGTAGATCCGCATCACTTCCTTCGTATCAGTTACCCTATATCAGTAGCTTCTAATCAGTAAGTCTGTGTTAGTGGTTCTGTATTAGTAGCTCTGTATCAGCGGCGTCATTAACTCTTAACCCTAATCAGTAGCTCCATTCAAATAACTTCGTATAAGTAGCTGCGTATTAGAAGCTGCGTAATAGTGGCTCCTTTATCAGTAACTCCATGCAAGTATCTCCATAAAAGTGCCACCATATTAGTACCTCCGTATTAGTAGCTCCGTATATGAGTAGCGCCATATCAGTATCTTTGAATCGGACGCTCGATATAAGTAGCTCCCCTGTTACTTAATACGTATCAGTAGTTCCTGTATCATTCACTTCATATCAGTGGCTCCATATTAGATACTCTGTATCAGTAACTACCCATCAGTAGCTCCCTATCATTAGCTCCTTATAATGAGATACCAATTAGTAGCTTTGTAAAAGTAACTCCATATTAATAGCTTTGTTTAAGTTGTACCGTATCCGTAGCTCTATATCTGAAGCTCCTGTATCAGTGGCTTCCATTAGTTACTCTATATAGGTAGCTCTTTTCTAGTATCTCGTAATGAGTAGCGCTGTAGCTGTAACATCGGCAGAAATATTGGACAAGATGGCGGCCGCGCTTGCGCATTTCGTCCATAATGGCGTCCAAATAATATAAGAAACTGTAAGGAAATTTGTAAAATTTCTAAAATATAACAATCAGGAGCTCATAGTCCCGTCTGCTCTCGATCGAGACATATTCAGTACTGATTCTGCTATTCATCAAACCTCACAGGGACTCGATAAATAAAAACCACTTACTTCCCGAGCCAGTTCTTTTGTCATTGATTATTGACCTAGGTCGCCATACAGTTCTTCAAAATCCGTCGTTCTCCATCCCAAACACAATAATAATAAAGGTCTTTATTAAGAATTCATTGCGCAAACAGACGTGCAAACTATGACTATGGCATTGAGAAAGTCAGTATAATCACATCCATCCTGAACATTTTCATACTTTATCTTTAGTAATAGGTATGATATATTTACTGCCTGTTTTATGTATGACAACGGTGTATCTGGGACAAAGATTTTCCATTCATAGCTTTTCTGCATGTACCTTGAAATTACATCTGACATTTTTGTAATATATTTTGGGTTTCTTATATGTTATGTGAAGGGAATCTGCATTTCTGAAATCAAATTTACAAGTGTGTAAATCTAGGCTTTCTATAACAGGTCCTCGTTCCTCGATGCATTAGAACGCGCGTGTTTAATGGATGGTTTATTCAAACCTCCAATTTTTTCAATGGGTATACATTCTGTGCCCACATACATGGACTATCTATACAGCTGGATAAGCCAGGTTAAAAAGATTGTTTTGGGAGAAAGAAAATGGAAGCCCGTCGTAAAGAAATTTTGCGCAAGAACACGGTGGTTTCTCGAAACATTACACACACTCATATCGGTCGATTTGCAGACGTATTTACAGGATAAAATATGTCTTTTTTAAGTTCCCTTGAAACTTATTTCCTGCATGGGAGGAAGCCGCGAAATACTCTAAAAGAAACTGCAACAACAGGAGAATGTTATGCGAGGTCGGGGAACCACTATTTCTCATAAGACGCCTAACCTTACGACCATTGATTGAGGATACCTCAGACAAATCTCAGACACTTGAAGGAGTTACACTGGAGCAAAAAACACCCTATTTGATATGCATTTGTACCTTACAAGGAAGTCTCGTCAATTTATCCATTTATATTTTCGAATTTTTCGGATGTTCAGAAAAATAACGAGAGGTCGGGGAAACATGTGCAGCATCTCGAGGTATTTTTATTTTTCAATTTAGTTCCTTGTTCCATACATGTTATTGTAACGCTCCAGCCATTTTTAAATACTCCGTTTCCAAGCAACAAACCACCGCCTCCGCCATTTTGTCCGTCATTTCTGGCAATGGATCCAATTTATGAGGAGGCGTCAAAATACCTTCTGACAATACAAATGCGCAACCAATGGCAAGTTGTTAGCAAGGAAAAGAAAAAGATTTAAAACACAAAAACAAAGGAACAATGAAGATGGGACACAGTCCATTGCTAAGGTCTCCGATAATTCCATTACTGTTGCCGCCAAAAATTCGGTTGATTACAAATTCGTACTCTTCTTTTGTCACGTTTCATTCAGGCCTTTTGTTCTGCGCGCATAACTTTCATCAATATTCTGTTACTCTTTCCTGTATAATTTCCTTTTGTTTATGTCGCTTGTATTAGTCTTCACCGCGGATTTTATGCATTCGGATCAACCGTTGAACTATTTGAACCGTCTAACTGTTTAAACCGTCTCTATCGATCGCTTTACGCCGCTTTACGTTGCTTTACGTCGCTTTACATCGTCTTTAATTTGGCAGTTGACCCAGATCTCGGCGACATTTGTAAGTGTCTTTTGTTTTCTTTTATTTTTGTTTTCTCGTTTGTTAATTTCTTTACCTTGAATTGTGACAACTATAGCTTGTAATCCATTTCTTGCAACCGGTTAGTATACATATTCATCACTTAACTTCGTTTCGTTTAGCCATTTGGAAGTGAGGTTGGACATGTCTGTGACGAGCATTTTTTGCTACAACACTGATGTACAACCCTATCAATTGGAGCTTCCTCAACAAAGACAAGTATATGTTGTAAAAAGCTAGAAAAAGACGTTGGCCATCGAGCAGTGGTCAAGTTGTTCAGTAGGGCCACCTCAAAAGCTATATAGAACAACTTCAAAGCTAACCTGGAGCATTCGCCGGACCAAGACATTCTCTATGTCGGCTCCAATAACCTTAAATATAAAAACTGTTGCAAGATGCTGAATCGATCGTAGACAAATCGAAGATTCATTCTCCGCCATATTTAAGCTTACTTCTACAAGGTGCAAGGGATGAATTCAATGGAGCAGTGAAAGATGCCGATAAACATCTAAAGAGCTATTGCCGTCAGAATGGATGGGAACTTATCCAGCATCTAAAGATCACAGAGAATGGCCTAAACAAGGGAGGACTGCATCTTAGTTATAAAGGTAATCAAAACATATTTAACAACCTTAACGTGCTCTCCGCAGATTTCCTGCGTGCTCAGTCTACTAAATCCAACAGTGAATCCCGTATACTGAATGAAAGCGGTAGAGAGGGTCCTACATAGGTTTGGCAGGATGAAGGATGAGGCTTAAAATCGAGGCGGGATGTGGGATACGAGATTCTTTAACGGCGAGATACGAGTTGAAGATAGCAAGGCGAGACCGGGACATACTCCGATTCGAAGGCGGGATAGGGGTTGGGACGGGTATAGGCGAGCTCATAAAAAGTATTTCTTTGCTTTAGAAACGGGCTTAATTAATGCTCCCGTGTAAATTGAGGTTGACATGCCTAAATGATTCAGTAGTACGTCCAGTTTTCTCTGTATTAGCGACACATGTTTACACGAAACTCCATGGTATATTCGGTTTTCTCTCCCTCGTAACAATTTTTCTCACTAGCATGTCTGAGTGAACACTTCTTTCTGTAGGATATTATCGGTTCTTTGAGGATTTCTCTTAGCAATGGTTGTTGCTGTCCTAAATGCTACTGGCTCATAAGGATTTTTTGTAAGTTTTGGAGATTTGGAACTGTTGGATAGTATTGTCGGTCAGCGCAGGAAAGGGCTTGAACTTTTTTACAAATGACGTATTTCTATTATTACAATACGATGGAAACTACAGTTGATAGGATTTTCATACGATAAGAAAAGCGCAAATGTAGTCATGTGGAAAGACAAAGAGTGTGAATACATCTCAAGCGCGTGAAATAAACAACAATAAGGAACTCACCATTCTTTGCTTGCGAAATGTCAGCCGAAAGGAATGTTGAACAATCGTGTTCGGTGTGGGAACAGGCCCTCTAATCAGCATTATTTATAACTGAACTCATTATGATAATAATAATAATAATAATAATAATAATAATAATAATAATAATAATAATAATAACAACAACAACAACAAAATTAATGTAGTGCCATTTCCATTTAGCCCAATGGCACTTTACAATAAAAAAAAATAGAAAAGTAAATGTAACCTGCTTATAATTAAAAAAATATGTAAATACATGATTTAGTAATATCTCATTAAGCACTACTAAAAACATATGAATCTCTTGCGAGGTCCATTTCTATTGCTAAGAAAAATAAAATAATATAAAATAATGCACAAAAAAATGGTCTATTCAGGAGAACTCGCTAGGCACTAAGGTGAATAATTTCTAATTTTAAATACAGCTATTATCTGTACCTTTTAGCAGGTTAAAAGAGGGGGCATATAAATCTCCAATGAAACAGAGTTACGCTTGGTCTTTCGAGTCCCAGTCAAGCCCAAAAACCCTTGAAATTATAAGGTTTCAATGATGCAAGAGGTCTGAGAGGTAATTTTCATACTGGTATGGCCCCTTGGACGAAATCTACAACAAGGTGTTGGGTTGAACAGGTGTTTTGTGGTGATGAGGTTAGCATTGTAACAATCATAATGTAGGTAGAATCTTTTTGTTAAGTTTCTTGATTTTTTTACAAAAGAAAAGTTGAAGTTCCTAACTCGGAGAATGGGCTACTTTTGGTGGAAAAATCTGCATCTTTCCAAAGTGCTGGAGGGTTGTTCACGTAGAATGTTTACCGAAATCACTGCGCATACTCCTGATCTTGGAAATCTTGTACTGCGTCAGTTGACTCTTGACTTGGGGAGCATTTTCAAGTAAAGATTTGATGCTGTTAGGGTTTTAGCTGATGATGGGAGGGTCGTAATGATGTGGGGACGACCTCATGAGGACAAAGACCTCAAAGAAAAAAGGATATAGAGTGAGTTCCTTCAGTTTACAGTGTTTGTGGCTGAAGGCAAAGCCTGGGGAACATACAGACACTTAGTGAGCCAAACAAGGCGAGTCATCTTATATTTAATATGTCTTAAATTTATTTGTTCAAACATTCTAATTCCTATGATAAAACACTAGAGCTTATGTGTTGTTTCAACATGTCCCCCTCCCGCCTGGTACAACTCATGTGCAATTGACTGTCGTCTGTGCCCAGGGAGTAAAGGTCAAACCTTACCCTCCCGGATGGTTAATTTGAAGTGGAGGTGTCAAGTGTTTCTATAAGCAATACAAGTGTTTCATTTTTAATGTCAAGGAGTGGGAAGTTATAGAGCTCGCTTTTGTGAAAGAATACAACATTCTTAAAAATGGGCAAGGAATGTGTTGCCATTTAATAGTGGAGATACAAGTAGATTTGCTCTCACACTGCAGTGATGTTCTCTGTATTGGTGTAAGGCCATACACTGTACTTTCTTTTTTCTTCACCAATTAAACAAGTTTTAAAGTTTTTTTAAAATGGTCAAATCAATTGCCTCTTCATGAGTAGAAAGTCATGTTCCCTTCTTCTTGCCTTCTACAACACAAATAGGTCCACACTGCTTTTGTGTGTCTTGGACAATGATAATAGTAATGATAATTTTCATTTCTAGAGCACTAAAATTTTAAAAATATTCTAAAGCACCTTACAAAATATTCTATAAAAATATTGAAACAATTAAACAATAAAATATGAAAAATATTAAAAACATTAAAATGTTAAAACTATTTAAAATGTTAGAACAAATTGTAGGCCAGCTTGAACAGTTGTGTCTTAAACTTAGACTTAAAAATGGCTACACTCTGACTGTTTTGAATTTCAAGCAGCAGTTTGTTCCACAGAAGTGGCCCAGAATGGGCAAAGGTGTGATCACCAAAGGTCTTAAAATTAGTTTTTGGGATCTTAAAAAGGCTCTGGTCACAGGAACGTAGGTGATGCCAGAAATGGAATGTGGCTGCAGATATTCTTCTCAGTGAAGATGAGATAAGTTGGACGAAATGTGATCAAACTTTGGAATCCTAAAGATTAATCGAGCAGTGTCGTTAACCACTTTCTGGAGGCGACCTGTCTGGTACTTGGGGATGCCAAAGAGAAGAGAGTTATAGTAGTCCAAATGTGAAGTTACAAATACATGAACAAGAGTCTTCATGGACTCAGGACTAAGGACTAAGGACTAAGGAATTTCCTAATTTGGTGAAGTAGATGAAATTGCAACAAGATGAAATTGCATGGTCGAAGGTATGCTGAATGGATGTCAATAGTTGCATCAGTGTGGTAAAGTTGACTGGTTTTCAAAGAAGTTGTTTGATAGCCTGTTTAACAATTAGACATTGAGTTCCGAGTTTTCTAAGTAAATAAACCTTTTTAGCCATGTGGTCACATGGTTTGAAATGGGTAAACAAGAATTAAAAATGACTGCTCAAGTATGTGCTTCAGATGACATCTTATAGATGAAACTGCCTCTTCTATTGCCGAAACTTTCATTGTCACAGGTAAATCAGTGCTTTAAAGACTGTGGTATTAGAAATCAGCAACAAAGGAAATGGAGTTTGTAATGAAGATTACAAACACCTCAAGCTGGAAAGATAAACTTTTGAGTGAATGATCTTTCAAGATCACATCATGCAATATTTCAAAGACAACAAATGCTCTGCAAACATAGAGTCATAATATCCCTGGATAGCCTGCCTCAAATTTTACTTGAATCTGTCTGGAATTTTTATCTTCAAGATAAATTTATGGAATTTTCTCTCTCTTTCTTTGCCCTTTTGAAAGACTTAAACAGGCTTTATTTTTGCCCAGCCTTTCAGCATTTTCTGTTGTGGCCAGAACCACAGCTACTTAATGCCATCTTGAATTTGGCACTTTGATCTTGAAATTGGGGTGGAATTATTCAATTATTCATTTCAAGGCTGGGGCATGTGTGTCACGCTGATGGCATCCCTGTGATCGGCTAGGGTATAAAGCTATTTGTGGTCTGAGGGGGCAAAAGTGTGGGGTTATCTTTGTTGTTGAATTATCTTTGGCATTATTCTTAGCTGAACAAATATTTGATAAATTTAATGGATTTATCAGGCACAAAATATGCACACAATATCACATTGCAGCTAGTAAGCTGAATTGCAGAAAATTTAAAGTAATTTTGGAAAAAATTTAACATTATGCATGGTCCTTAAAAACTACTATACATAATACAATTTGCATTAATAAGACTTAGTTTATGTAAAACTGATATTTACTCAATGAAAATCATTTATGAGTAGTTAAAACTAGGAATTGTCTTTTCCATACACAAATGGTATAAAAGAACATTTATTTTGTATCTGTCAATTCTTGTGAGCAGTCTTTGGAAGGTTTGAGTTTTCTATGTTCTGTACTTTAATTTGGTTGGTGCTTGAATTGTAGCATTAACCTTGGCATTTAAAGCAGACTCATTAAGGCTCTCCCAAAGGAGAATGTAGAGAATAAAAAGGATCACTAGGCAAAGATATGTAAAATTTGTAAGTGTGGCAGAAGGGATTTCCTTTTTCAGATGAGTTTATGGAATTAACTAAGTGTCTTCATGGTCTACCATTTGCTCCTTAATAGCCTCAAGTCTCCAAGTAGGGAGATTGGGTGGGTGCATTAATTTCTCATCTGCATGTTTGGCCTGAATTAGAAATGCTTTGCTTGTTGGTTAACTTCAACCTTCTTTGCCTTTGTGTCTTTCCAGTCTCCCAGAGTAACCATGCAGTAGTTTATTTCCTCTCTTAGAAGTCTATTCTGAGTAAATTTGCAATCAATGATGATAAAAGCTAATTATAATCATTACTAGGAAAGTATAGACTAAATTATGAATAAAATTATTTAGAATTACAATGTGCTTTAAAAATCTACAAGTGTACAAACCAGTCAAAATTGAAATGTTTTAGTGAAAATATGGTGGTCTTTGGTGATTTCTTTGGCAGCTAACAGTTCCATGACAAAATTGTAACACTGCAGAATTACTTTCACATCATGACATTTATGCTTTGGGCACTGAACCCAAACCAGAGAATTGATGCACTCATTTCAGTTCTGTGTAACTTGACATTATGTGGGTGGAGTGTAACAATTCCACAAAAACCTGGGGCAAGCAGTCATCCCTTTATCTGTCAATGTTCTTGTTGCCAGTCAAACCAGGAGTTCTTGTCAGGGGGAGAAAATCTGAGTTGCTTTGCTGAATCTCCAGCTTGGATAGAGTGGTGTAAGATGGATATCAAGTTCTTTTTCATGGTGTAAACAGCTATATTTATCTCACTATCTGATGGATTTGAGGTTGACAGAACATTATGTGTAATGACCAGACCATGGTATCTCTGAATCCTCGTTATTTGTTTGTCTGAGGTGGCCACACCCTCCAACTGGCTTTTTCATGTGAAAAACACTTGCCTCAAGAAATCACAGGCTATTAAATATACAGAACAAGCAGAAAGCAAAAAATAAATGATTGAATTACTAAAAGTAATTTAGAGTAGTGCAAACATTGCCAAACAATAAATCAACAACTATGTACTTACTGTCCTATAGACACAGTCAATCAGAAACTGTACAATAAAGTTGAAACATTTTTCAGAGAACCATTTAGAACAATTGAAGTTTACCACATGTTAAATAGTTCTTATTTGGTCTGGTAAATTGTTCCAGAGTGAGGGAACAATGACTGAAAAAGTGCAATTTCCAGAGGAGTCAAGATTATCCTCAGAGACCAATAACAATTCCTTGTTAGTGGAGTGGGGTGTCGAAGGCATATCATTAATTAAGGACTTTGCTCACAGGGGATGTTTCTCTAGTTTGCCTTTCTTTTCTTTCTAGAATGGTTTGGGACTTTTTACTGGTCATCTCAGAGGACAATCGCTACCACAAGAGAAAAGCCTTGGCAAGTTAGTTGTCAGGTTGATTGTAGTTTGCTAGAAATGTATCTCATGAGCTCCCTATCAATACATGTGCCTCACGTAAAAATTATACATAGATATACATATAGGAAGTCTGTGTTTTGATTTTTCTGTTGTACAGTGCTTGATATGTAGAAGTAGAGGGCGATATGT